CAACAACAACCACAAACACAACCACAACAACAACACCAACGCCACCAATACAACATCAACACCAACACCAACACCAACACCAACACCAACACCACCAACACCAACACCAACACCAACACCAACACCTACACCAACAACGACACCAACACCAACACCAACACCAGCACCAACACCAGCACCAACACCAGCACCAACGGCAGCAGCAACCTCACCAGCACCAGCACCAGCGCCAGCGACAGTGCCAGCGCCAGCAGCACCACCACCAACAACAGCAGCAGCAAAAAGCCGCAGCGGTGTCATGCATACATGCATGCATGCGTGTGTGATATGTATGTGCATACAAAACATACAGAATGTGTTCGCCTGATTAAACAACACATAAACAATCCATGAGAAGGTATGGAAGGGCATGCACACGAACATCTGTAGATGTGGAGGTAGAATCAAATCATGTCCTTCATCCTCCGCCCAGAGGCCGCATCCCAGCGCCGCGGTTCGGGCCAAAGGTCTTCGGGTGCTGGCCAAGGCCCTGCGGTTCTGCACCATTTGCTCGCTTTGATTCATGGGTGTTTTTGGGATATTTTTGGTGTCTTACTCCTGGTCCTAGCTGCTGTTTTTCTGAGGTTGAACATCTCGAAGATCTTCGCAGTCTTACTTCAAGTTGTCGGTGTAGTCTTTGGGTTTACGCCCATCCGGCAGTTCTGTTTCCAGTAGTGCTTGAAGGATTACGGGACTTCGTAAGAGCTAACGACTCAGATGAGGCTGTCTGATTGGTCTTCCTTCGTTGATGGGAATGGCTTTTCAGCTAGTAGTTGGGGTGGGATTCCCAAATGAGGTCCCAATGATCCCGAGTGCGGGACTCTGATCCCTACCCTACCGCAGCTTCTTCTGATTCGTTTCCGAAGCATTGTAATCATGCTGGGGGCCCTAGTTTCAATGAAGGTCAAAAGCCTTTGAAACTCTAGAGTTCCCTCAGAACCTTCTATGCAAAGGGGGGTCAACAGTTCTTCGTCCGCGCTATCGGCTGCACCGGAGAGGCAAGCGGCCCGACTTCAGCAACTCCCATGGCTCCGAGCCCAGCGCGGCCTTCCCAACAGTCTTGGGAGTCTGACTTGCTTGGAACCTGAAAATCCTTTCACGGGGTGATCTGGGAGGAGTATACTGAGTATACTAATACGCTAAATTATAGAGTTCCGATATGAGCTGGACACGTACAGCAAGCACGTCAGTATTTATAGTTGACTGCTTTGGTGTGTCACGAATAGGTCGCGCAATGCTGCTGGGATGTGAACCGGCGAAACCCTCTTACGACGGCAGGAGCTGTAGCGAGAAACGATCCAGCCCGAACGCCAACAACTCTTCTGGCGATTCTCCCAACAGCCCAACAGCCCGACCTGACCCAGCGCAAGCTCTGCACCCATGGCCCAGCTTTACTGTACCGGAAGGAAGCACGCAGCAGCCAGGAAAGCTGTCGTGCATGGCGCAAGGGACTTCCGTTTTCACGGTTTAGTTAAGGCTATGACTACATAATAATCTTCCACTCCCATATAGTCAATCACAGTGGCACGCTGAGAGTTGGGAGGCCAAGCTTTGTAAGACAGCACTCTACAATCCTGAATCCTCTGTAATGCGTTTTGTTTCTTCGCCAATCGCACTTCCTGTACGGGCCTTCCAGATTGGACATCGTCTGCATACTTCTTCTCATGAAACCAGCATGTGGAATGCAACAGCAGAGTGGTTTCAGCCTTGCTGAACAGAGCCAGCTGTTGCAACGATGAGAGCTGAAAAGTTGCAAAGGAATTGGGCCATCCAGATTACGGCAAGAGACTGAATAGGCAGCTCCGTAACAGGCTTCGAACACGTGTCACTTGCAACCCCAAGTATCGGCCCTACTTGTGAAGTCTTCTAGTACAGTCGGAGACTTTCAACTGCCATCTGAAGATTCTCGACAGTTACAGAGGGTAGTATGCCAAGGTGTCTTATATCCAAACCAAACTATCAGAATCTGCAGAACAGTCGAGTCTGTAAGAAGTAGAAAGAACCACAAACATGCGCTAAACACCAAGGCCAGCACGACGCACTCGGCCCACGCTGAACCCATTCGCACAACTCGTCGGCCTCACAAACGGCCTTCCAGAGCGCTGTCCAAGGCTTCCTCTAACATTCTCTTTTTTTTAGGGTTTCGGCTCTCGCGCAGACTTATGACTCTAGTTGTTTCAAAAGTGCAGCGGGCGAGTGGTTGAGTCTAGGGCGTTGGCCCCCAGGCCAGGGTGAGGGAGGCGATACGTTGGGTTCAGGCTTTCAAACTGCTGAAAGGACCACGGCTGTAAACCCTGGCTGCCTTTTCCGCGTGAGCTTGATCACCGCAGCCGGGTGTCTCGTCTAAGGCGGCCTGAAAGCCGAAGTACTGCTGGACCTGGCAGGGGACGTGCTGTGTGTCGGGGCAATTGCTTACCGAGCAGGGGCCTAAAGTGAAGGGCACCGTTTTACATATAAAACAATGCAAGACGAAGACCTAGTAAGTTCATCAAGCCTTTAGGTCGCGAATCCTCTTTCCAGTGGACTTCTTAAGTCCTAGGCCTCTTATTGAAAATGGCCTTGAGATCGGTCTCCACGGCTGGATCGTCGAAGGAGAAGATGTCGGTGCCCTGGGTCATCACCTGACGGGGGATTTGAGGGAATGATTTCCGGGCTGCCACACGGCGTGGTGTTGAGTTTCAGTTTGGGCTTCCGAAGTGACCGGATGCGGCTTGCCGGTCTGAAGACGAGAATTTTTTGGTCGTAGTCCTGCTCGATGTGCAGCAGTCTTTCAGGGACTGGTACAGTAAAGTTTGGGAGAAGCCTGTGCAAAAAGCCTGTCATCACGACGTTGCACAAGGCTTTCGAATACTGGCAATAAAAGTCTCGCCGAAGGCTCGATTTTGGCAGAAGCGCCGCACTGCGTATCGACCCCTCGGCTCGAAGCCGCTCTCTGCAGTTCGAGGCCTCGTTTATGAACAGAAGGGTGAAGAACCAGCCGAGCGCGAAGAAAAGCCAGCAAGGAATGCAAGATCCTTTCAGTGGCGCTTGTGCTTTCAGCGGCTGCACGTTCAGCTCAGCAGGGGCACATGTGGTGTGTTGGTCCTGCTGCGCCACAGCATTGCCCAAGCAGGCATCTTTCCTTGGTGGCATGGGACACAGCCTACAGGCTTCTGAAGAGAGAGACAGAGACGGAGGGAGCGAGAGGGAGAGAGAGAGAGAGATGTATATATATATATGTACACATACATAAAATATTGTATACATATATAAATATATACGTCTGTATATATGTATATATGTATGTACGTATATGTGTATGTGTATGTGTATGTGTGTGTATATATGTGTGCATGTGTATGTATGTATGTATGTATGTATGTATGTATGTATGCATGTATGCATGTATGCATGTATGCATGCATGTATGCAAGTATGTATGTATGTATGTATGTATGTATGTATGTATGCATGCATGTATGTATGTATCTGTATGTGTGTGTGTATGCACGTGTACACATAAGATGCTGCGAGCACTCGCAGAATCTGTGGCACGTAGACTTCTTCACGGCTGGATGCTGTGCTTGGGGCTCACAGCTTCGATGCACTTTGCCGACTCCCAGGTTCTGCAGACACGCTACAGTGCGTGTCTAACGAAGGGGAGGGCTCTTCGTGCAGGCATATTAGCTGTATTAGCTCCTTTTGGCCTTTGTTTTCTCTTGGTTCACGGAGCCGAAGCCTGTTCTGAATCTGGGTCCTGTTTGATGTTTGGGTTGAGTTTCCGCATTGGCCTGGTTCCGTGCGTGTTTCAGCTTGGAGAAGCGGGCGAGGCTCGCCTTCGATGGGCCATGCACACGCCGCGGATTATAAAACCAGAAGTTAAGCATCGGCGGGTCCATCAGCTCTTCAGATACATATATCTATGCCCTAGTTTGACTTGCCTCTTGTTTGTATGTATGTTTATGTGTGTGTGTGTGTGAGCAGGTGACGAAGTACGAAAGTATGTCGGCCAGTAAGAAAGTAAGTCGGCAGGTGTATAAATAAACAACAAACACAGATAGAAAGGGAGAGAGAGAGAGAGAGACGGAGGGGGAGGGACAGTGATCTGATATCTTCGATGAGGGCAGCAGGTCCCTTCAGTGAGCATCGCGGAAATTTTACGAAGCGCTGGGGCCCCGTACCCAGCAGCAAGGCTCTGGGCCCTCGGTGTGTGGATTACCGAAAGGATCAGCCCCCACCCTTCGTGAAATTGAGCACCGGGGGTGATATTCCAGCAACCGCAGGTCACTACAGCAACTGTTTGGTTGAAATATCCCTCAGATGGCTCTTGAAAAATACTGACTCAACATGTGCCGATGCCCCGGTGCTGTGAAGCTTCGGATACGGGACGGGCATAAGGGCTATCAACGGGCAAGGCTGGATCGAATCTTCACCGGCCCTCGCGGCACTCTGAACCCCAAAGGCCTGAATCCTGATGCACCGCGAATAATGCATCGAAGCCCTCGCAGGTGCGGCCGGGCTGCACAGCAACACGGCGGGATCTCTGCAGGTGCCTCCCGGAGCTGTAACAGTTCGCTTCGGATGGCCCTGACTCAAAGTTTTCACTGGACGTGTCGTGGCAGCACCACGATCCCGTCGCGACTACCAGCAGTCTGGAACCTTTCCCAACTTGGCCAATCCGAAGGCCGCACTCTTAGTCTTGTTTCAAGCAGAAGAGTGAAGCACATGCACAAAAGACATGTGGAATCTGAAACTCCTGAAATCTCTTTCCAGTTCAAGGCAGGCACTTGCGAAAGTCATGAGATACCGAAGCAGACCAGCCCCAAAGCCCCACCCCAAATGACCCAAAAGAGAGACACGCAAGTGGCCCAACTCTGCCTTGTCGCCTCCCCTTGAGGGGTGCCCTTTCGACTCCACAGGGACTCCCATGACTTCGGCCCCTGAGCATGGTTCCCAGAAGGCTTCTTCAAGGATGATGTGCGGTTTAGGGGACATCTCAACCAAAGAGGCCACAAGAAAGCGATGTTATCCTCTTTTCTGCAAACTGTTACATTGTGCCAAGTGGAATCCACCATGGCTGGGCCCTAGGACTGTGCCGGAGCATGGCTTCTGATAGCGGCACTGCAGGCTGCTGGACATGATCTTCAAGCACGTCCAGCTTGAGGCTGTGGCAAACCCGCACATCGTTTCCTATACCCCCCTTGAGTTCATGCTTCCATGGAGAGAAGTTCTGCTTCTCGGGTGTCTGTGGTCGTCCACTCTGTCCTTGTTTCCTGCTCTCTCCCTCCGTCCCTGCCTCTCTCTCCCCATGCCGTCTACGATAAGATGTTGGAGCTTGACAGTCAGGAATATCTATCAACTAGTTAAGTATGCAGACCCCTTTCTTAAGCATTACTCCCGAACAGTGCAGATGTGGCCTTCGACTGGCGCAGCATTGCTGTCCTTAGCTTCAAGTGCGGTTGTCGACATTCGTCGCCTCTGCAACAGAGGAAGGGGTTCCCTCACTAGCTTTATTGTATTGGTAAAAGCATTGGTACTTATTGGTCTGTTCTTTAAGCCGCAAGCTCGCAAGCCTGAAAGAAGCTGAGCACAACCCGTGCTCGGCGCTGGCCCAAAGCCAAGCTGCCACGTTCACGGCCTCCCCCACCAGGAGATTCGACATTCTTCGGTGGGGCGGTCTCCTCGGAGGAAGGCTCACATTGTTGCGGAGATGGGTACTTCAGCTCATTAGGTGGGGCCAGGGTTTCCCAGACCAGTTGCAACAGAGTTGCTCACGGGACATTAAGCTTTGGGTGCGGTTTGACTCAACTCATGCTCCGCCGTGCTCCACTTTTCTGCGCCCGACACGAGACATCGCCCCAAGACTTCCACGGCAGATGTGATGTGTCTTGTAGTAGCTCATGGGAAAATGTGACGATGGCACATACGACATAGGCACACTCGTGTTGCGTAACAGTATGCCTTATCCCCAAACTTTAAACCCTGGCCATTCAACTCTATGCGTCATCTAATCCCTTCGTCACACCTGAAAGGTCGACTCGGTCCGAGCTTCTACTCGGTTCAGCATGGAAAGACCAAACCTCTTACGGCGCATTTTCTACCGCAACTTTCGGCCCAAGCTTCGGGAAGCACTGCGAGGCCAAATCTGCGCGGCGACTCTTCGGGCCGAAATTCCAACGGCACAGCTCAGGAGCACAAGATGTTGCATCAAGGTCATTGAACATAAAAACCCAACTTAAGAAAGGCGAGACATATGGGTACAGTCCCATATATGTGACGGTATCGGCGACTTGTACATCGAATCTACTAAGGCAGAACTGCAGAACCCTTTCAGAAACAGGCTCTGTGTCGAAGTCCTCGGACCGGTCGGGTAACTAAACTTTTTGAGTTGAACCATGCTGGACCGAATCACCGGACCGTATTGGTAAGGAGATTTTTCTGCCAAGGTCATTGTGGAGCTCTGGGATTTGATGGGTGTTTTTGCCGGTGCGCAATAACAGAAAACCGAATGCAAACGCCGAACTCAGACTATGGGAATCAAGGCTCGCGAAACTCTCCTAATACCAGGTGACGCACAAGAGCCTACGGGCCTACGAGGATCTCTGAACTGATTGAAGCAACACAGAAGCGCTCTGTTGCAGTTCATTCACGTCCACGACTTGGCATGCAGGCATGTAATCGAATGGGCTATCGACGGCTTGGAATCAACATGAACAAACGCTGCCAAAGCATTTGCACACTGCTGACATGCGGCGGTGCCATGACCTCGATGATGGGCTTCTCCCCGTCTTGGAGAGAAGCCGGCACCGGATTCTAAAACAGCACGCAGGCACACACGATCGAGCCAGCAACTGCTGCGGCGCGGACATCAAAACAGCAGAATGCGTGGTGTAACGTTGGGGTGCGCTGTGAGATGCCAAATCAAAGAAACCAGTTGCCGGACAGAAACCGTTGCGAGAACAGCTGCTGTATGGTGCGCACGACAAAGCGAAACCTTTGCGCTCTACTTGCCACTGGCGGTTTCTGTCTGTCTGTCTGTCTGTCTGTCTGTCTGTCTGTCTGTCTCTCTCTCTCTCTCTCACTCATGCGCGTGCGGGAACAGCACACCCGGTCTCTTCAGAAACGTGCTAAGTGCTCTCACACGTAGGGGAGAGATGCACTACTGTGGGCTAGCTGGCCAGGACTGCTCGCTGGCTAGGCCTCGCTCAAACAGATTAGTTGTCCTGCTGGAGAGCAATACGCGGCTAACCTTGACACACTGCCTGGTACTGCTCCTCTCGTTGCACAACCAATGCACTCCCATGCTCCCGACAACACTAAACTGCGGCGTCTAGGGGGATTGCGTTTGTGTTGTGATGCAAATGCAAATAGCAGACAGGCGATTGGCTTTTTCGGTGAAACGCATGCAAGGAGATCGCCGGAGGTGGTGCAACCCACATGTACCACTCCATTCGATGCTCCACCAGGTCAGCCAGACCAGAAGCAGGAATGGCCTTATCTTGACGGAAGCGCTTGCGCCAAGCAACTATAATTCTGAGTAGGACCTGTAGCAATGCCGTAATGTTATGACGTCATGGCCACACGACTTCACGGGCAACAGGGTTCAACACATGATAAACGAAGACATCAATACACACAAAACAAAAACAGTACCAGTAACAACAACACAAAGCGACAACCCGACAATTCAAGACAAACCAAGAACAACAGACACACACACACACAAGCCCAGCACTCACTCACCCACCCACGCACTCAGTCACTCAATCACTCACCCACCCACTCATTCACTCACTCACTCCCTTACTCTCTTTCTTTCGTCAGGGCTGTGGTGCAGGGGGAGACCCCCTACACCTCCCTAACTCTCTCACTCTCTCTCTCTCTCTTCACTTCTCTCTCTCTCTCTCTCTGTCTGTCACTCGCACTCCCACTCTCCATCTCACTCTGTCTCGCACTCTCACTCTCTCAAACCCACACACACACACACACACACACACACACACACATAAGCACACGCACGCGCACGCGCACACGCACACGCCGCACACACGCACATGCGCTCCTGCACGCACACACTGGCGACACTTAGCATCCTGAGTGCTTCAGGCATATATTGACTGTTGCGTCTGCGCAGCTGCGCTCTCTCAGATCTC